CATTTTAGGCCTATCTAATTATGAATAATTTAATTGAGACTTTGCATTGAATATAGGCATTAAGGTTTATTTCCCAGTATATACGTTTACCTAACTGAAAATTTGTACAGATATATAAGCCATAGTATCTATTATAAGGATTTGACATAAATAGTCTTGAATGCTATTGATACTAATGGTTATATCTATGATAAATTTTACGTATATTCAGAAGGAAGCTATAGTGGGCAATAACATTCGTTTAAGTCAATTGATGACTACTTTTTCGATCATTATCATCGTATCTGACTTTCAAAAAACAATTCCACCCTATGAGATGTCTTTACAATGGACCTGAAAACATAGAGTCGCCATCGACAAAAGTACCATGTGGAGCAAGAGAATATGTATGAGGCATGTGAGCTCTTGCAACTTCTTTCATAGTCTTAGCTTCAAGACAGATCAAAATACTGTGTTTTCCATCTCTATCACAGACTATAGTGAGAACATAGCCATCATCTTCAGCGTTTCGAGCAGGGTTTGGGCAAAACATTGGTTCACATGGACAACTCTCCCCATTAGGTGGTTTCCATTCTAAAACTTCACCGGTTTCCCAATCAGACTTAACAATAGACGCAAAGAAAGACATAGAAACAAACTTAGTGCCATTTGTCATGCGACCAATTGGGACTCTTGTACCCGGAGAAGGCTTGCCAGTACCTCCACAAGCATATACATAACGGTAAGATGGATTGCAAGAAGCAGCCTTATTAATACGTGGTAATTCCATATGTTGGTTGACAGCTTGCTTGACGTAAGCTCTTGGAACATTTGCTGAGCTATCACAAACAAATTCAGTAACACTCTTTTGAGATGCTTCCCCCAAGATGTTAGCACATTCGTATCTGACTAAATAGCCATTCTCAAATGAATGTATTGGGTCAATAACATTACTCAAAGAATATTCTTTGTACGGAATCCTTCTACTCTCTTGACCATCATAACTACAGAGATCAATATGGACATTAACTTCTCCAGTTAATTCGTCAACATAATCGTAAGCATTGACGGAATGAAAGAACATGAAGTTGGGGCATTTATAGGTTGCAATGTGACTACCAGTGGATCTTTCAACAATGAAGAAGAATACTGGACAGTCTGGATCATACACAAACGAATCAGCAAATGTTTTGTTTTCAATATCTGCTAAGTCAATGGTGATTGGGTTTCTAATGAAGACTACGTACTTTTCAGTTGCAGCTAAGGAGTGACAGTAACATGGAGGACCAGGTAATTTTGTATGCCAGATTAGCTTGGAAGGCTTAGTCTTGATATCAAGAGCAAAAACCGTTAGTTCACCTTTGTCAGTAACCAAGTAGTTAAATATCTCTCCAGTATTTCTATCCTTAATAAAATGTGCGCATGTGCCTTGACCTTGAAGTTTTGGATCAATATCGCTGAATCTCAACATTCTCTTTGGTTCTAATGTACGGGAATCACAAACCTGAAAGTAAGGGCCTTCAGTTTGAACCACTACTTCGTCAGCAACTGGGTTTTCAGCTTCTGGTTGGGAATATGGGTTACCAGTATCTGGAAGGGAGAATCCACGGCGGACAACAACGTTAATATTCAACTCATCTGGTTCTAAGTGACCTGTTGGAATAAAAACAGATTGTTGTTGTCTTAATAATGCCTGACATGGATCTTGGAAACCTTTCAAAGGAGTGTTTGGATCAACACCGAAACACATAATATTCTTTAACCTACCATTCTTCTTTGCTTTACGGACAACGCCTTCTGTCGTGTAACGAGAATTGTATTTAACCTTTCCGTTAGCAATATCAAACTTGTGAAGCATACCAAGAGCATCAAAAAAGTGTTGCAAAACTGCACGAGGTTTTGAATCATCATCTGACAATGGCACACTATATCTACCGGTTCCGACCCTTACAAATGATCCCTTGATCCATGATGGCCATTCACCCTCCGTTTCGCATAGCACCGGCTCAGGAGTCTGATCAGCATCATTGAAATAAGGGGGAACATACTTCTTGAGTGTGTCGTAATCAACGAAGTATTGATTTACAGGTAATTCTGTTTTGGTAACATTTTGTTCAAGATTCATTGTTTCTTTGTTTGTTAGATTGTCTGCTATAGACGAAAGTTTGTTTACAACTCTTGGTCCATTGAAATATTCAAATAGCGCGAGCTGCAGTGCTTAAATAGTTCACTTAGAATTATGCATTAGAGATTTTGCGGAAATGGATCCCGCAAATATATACTGCAATAACAGGCCATTATTAAACTTCCTACTGAAAATGTGGCATCCTCATTTGTTTTATTTCGTTGATATCAACAATAAGTTTTAACTGGAAACAAGATTTTATTAGAATAGATCTCATGCTCATTGAAGTAATTGTTTGATCATTTATTTATGCTAGTACTGTATTTTTTTTGACAAGTACGTCACAGTCGTTGAAATACTCAAATATAATTATAAGCTTACTTTCATAGTATAATCTTAAGATTTTTGTATTGAAGACTTCAATTTGTGCAAAACGCGGATTTGAAAGGGGTCTAACAAGGCTATTTCCAATGCAAAGCCTGTTATTCGCTGTCGTAGCGGGACAAGAATTGTGGGGAATATGAGGAGTACCATGAGGAACGCATCCCTGTGCGGATATACATTTATTCTAAACTTTTCATAAAGTGGGACAATATATTCCTACAAAACCCCGTTCCGCTATAATTATAAATACCTAGTGCTTGTCTTTAGGATTCGGCCGAAGCTAGTAATATAATCTATTAGCTCTTGCAGAACCACTAGAAATTCACCAATATGAGCAATAAAGTTAACCCTGGCGCAAAAGTGCCAACATTAGATGAAACTTATTCTGGAATCCCCCACAGAATGGAAGAGTTTGCATATGGCTTGAAACAGTTTGTCCTCGGAAACACAAATAAGGACAACAAGCCTAGAACTGAAGATCTTCCCGTTCTTCCTCCTGGGATAAATCGGTCTGGTTTCAATATTGCCATTGAACAATTGAAAGGCTTGGTAGGAAATGAAAATGTTGAACTTAATGATCAGGAAAGATTAGAAGATGGGTGGTATAATGAACATCCAAATACCCATGATTCCTTCCACCTATTGGACGAGAATGATCTTGTTTCATCCGGTGCTGTATATCCTGGCTCCACAGAAGATGTTCAAAGCATCGTTAAGTGGGCTAACAGATGGAAAATCCCACTTTATTCTATTTCAATGGGTAGAAATTTCGGGTACGGGGGAGCTGCTCCGAGATTAAGAGGTTCAATTGTCGTAGATTTAGGCCGCAGAATGAATCGGATTTTGAAGTTGAATAACAAGAGTTACACTTGCTTATTAGAACCTGGAGTTAGTTACTTCAAATTATATGATGAAATTAAGAAGAATGGCTATGACATGTGGGTAGATCCTCCTGATATTGGTGGTGGATCAATTTTAGGTAATGCTCTAGAGAGAGGAGTCGGTTACACCCCTTATGGCGATCATTGGGGAACTCATTGTGGTATGGAAGTTGTCTTACCAAATGGGGAGGTATACCGTTCTGGAATGGGTGCAATAGAAAACAGCCAGGCTTGGCAGGCATCTCCTTATGGCTTTGGTCCCTACTTGGATGGCATATTTTCCCAGGGCAACTACGGTATTGTTACAAAAATGGGTTTCTGGTTGATGCCAGATCCAGGTGGATATAGCTCTCACGCAATCACTTTTGATAGGGAAGAAGATTTCGGTCAGATCATCGAAATTATTCGTGAGATTAGAGTCCGTCATATTTCAGGCAATGTTGCACAGCTAAACAGCGCTAAGGGTGAGCTTACTTTCCGTTACACGAAAAAAGAACTAGGGATCAAAGGTAATGTTATGACCAAAGAAGATGTAGAAAGATGTTCTAGAGAAAAACTAAAGCACGGACCTTACAGTTGGATCTTTTTTGTTTCGTTTTACGGCCCTACAGAAGTTAGAACACTATCGTGGAATCTTGTTAAAAAAATGATGAGTAAGGTTTCAGATGTTCACTTTTACGATGAAAAAGATTATGCAGATGGAGAACCTGACAACTTTCATATTCATCATGAATCTTCTATGGGAATTCCACAGTTTATTGGTGCAAGACAGGCAAGTTGGTATCCAAACGGTTCGCACTCTGACTTTACTCCGGTTTCACCTATAACTGCCAAGGATGCTAAGCAATTACTAGACCTTGTCTACAGATTGCAAGACAAGTATCAATTAGATTCATTCCCGAACTTCGTTGTTGGAGTAAGAGATTTGCATATGATAGACTTCATCATGTATGACAAGAAGGATCCGGAGATGAGAAGAAAAGCCCAGTTAATGCTCAGAGAGTTAATTTCAGAAGGTGCGAAACTAGGATATGGTGAATATCGTACTCATTTGGCTCTACAAGATCAGGTTATGAATACATATGGTTTTAACAGTTGTATTCACCGTAGATTATGTGAAGTCATTAAGGATGCGGTTGATCCAAATGGTATCCTATCACCAGGTAAAGCAGGGGTATGGCCTCAGTGGTTGAGGGGAAAGGGTTGGGAATGGTTCGGCACTGAAGTTGCCAGAAAATGGTCGGATCCTACAAAAGGCAAGCATAATCTATGATATCACAGGAAAATCCTTTTGTTAGATTTCTTTGCTTGTTTTTGCCTTAAGTCTCAGCTTTTTATTCCAGTTCTAGTACTCATTTGTTTTAGGCAATCAACGGTTATTTTTCAAATTATATTAAAAATATTATAGCAGATAATTGAATGTCTCCTTGGTTCTTTCTCCTCTTCCCGATTTTTTTTTAATTATTTCTAATATTTTTTCTGCTAGTTACTTTAAATAATCTACACTTCAAATTTATAAGCCTGTGACGAAGAACACAATTTTTCGTGTACGAGGTAATCAAATAGAATTTTTTTGCAGAAAATTGTCAAAGTGCTTTATGTTCTCGTACTGAATTATCAGAAGTAATAGATAAATAATTAACCTATTATTCACGCGTCGACCACTATAAGGATTATAATTGTAAAGATGTTATCTTATTTATAGCAAGTATCACTAAGGTTCGTATGTTGGTATTTACGAAAACGCGCTATTATCATACATGCCTTTGATCATAAATAGTCTGATGCTATACTGAGGTAGCTATGAGGACCAATCTGCTTGAAATCTATGACGATACCTCAGAATGTTAAGCAGCAACAGTTGCCATAATGGCTATATATCTGGGAGCTGTTTGAGGTTTACTTCTAGCTATACTTCTAGATGTAGTTATGTTGTCTTAAATTTAAGACATATAACATGTTACTAACATGCGAAGAACGTTGGTTTCAGTACATATAGGACCGCTGTGTGTAGAGACATAATCATGTTATGGTTATCAAGCATTGAACTATATGAGGTATGGATTTCTGTTTAGAAAAGCCAATATATAGCTAGACAGAGCTCAGTGTTTTATTTCTTCTCATATAAATCGTATAGTTATCCAGAATATTTAAACATAGAAAAAATGTGAGATTAAAACCTCGTTAAGCAATAGTTAACTGCCTGTTCTTGGGTAGTAGACCAATAATATAAAGCAAAGATGGAGATAAACGCAAGAATTAGAAAAGTGTTATTGAACTACAATTGTTGTATGAAAAAAGAATTTCTTTCAGTGGAATCAGAATAAAACAAAATGCCACATCACTGAGAAACTGTGAAGAAAAGTGAAGTATAAATTTCAAAATGTGATCCTACAAGCGCTTCTAAGGGCCAGTATCTCTCAATCTTGCTAAAATTATACTGCTGGATATCTCAATGCTCATTTTCAGACCAGAATATGCTATTGGTTTTACCCATAAATACAAGATCCAATAAACTTATCCTGCGTAAAATCGTAAACAAGTTTTGTGGGTGGGTCTCACAATTCCGCCTTTTGTTGTCTAGTTAGCTGCGACTTATCGGAGAAGCCATCCGCTTACCCCAGTTATATATACACATAAATAAAAATGAGTATACTTAGAAGGTAATAATCCCAATCAGGTTCCCCTAAACCGACCGGCTTTCAACTTTTCGTAGTTGGTTTTGAGCAGTTACACTTGGCACCCGCTATTTCACCAGTTGCGGTTTATTTTCCGCATCATACCTTGAGTTCGGCATGCTATACTCTGATTCTAAATCGGACGGAGAGGCAATGATATACAGACATAATTTCTAAATAATATAACGGTATAAATAATCGAATGAGTTAATATTAACTATCAAATTCCATTGTATTAAAAATGTCACCTACAAAACCTGATAATGCTGCTTTAAACGATTTATTAAAAGAATTACATCCTGAGCATGCTGAGCCTTTATGGACTGTATTGTCCAAAGTATCTCATGCTGTTCCTCAACCAAAAGCTATTCCAAA